CTTCACACACCATGTCGCGGTAGCTACTGTAGTTCGCGGCGACCACTTGTCGTCGTATCTCCATTTTCAGTCCCTCAGTGTACGCCTGCAGTGTTTCCCCATCGGCTACGTCTAGAATTTGGTTTAATAACTGCTCCATCTACTGCGTATACTGCGCTACACTACGGCACTGTTTTCTGTATGTGCCGATGAATCTGCTGCCGTGCCATGTAGCTCGAATTAATAGGTTCGAAACGCGCGATTAAACCTGCCCAAAACTACGTCCACGTTCCTTCACCTCGGACCACGTCACTATCATACACCCATTCGAGTGCCGGGCCTCGCAACAGTGTCGCTGCGAGCCGAATCCTTACTGCGTCATTTTTCGGGGTCGTATAGCCAATAGCCTCGAAATGAATTTCGAGTGTGGCCACGAATCGTCGAACGTCCGATCCCTTCGCGCTTGGATCAAATGCTTCCAGGAGCCTCGGACGGGCTGATTCGAGGTTCAGCGAAGCGTGTGCCACTGCTGCTGCGTGAAATGTTGGTGTCGCCACTGCTGCTGCTGCCGTCGCTGTTGCATTCGTTGTTGCGTTTGCTGATGCCGTGGCGGCAGCCGACTGGTTCATGAGGAGTGCCTCTATTCGTTGGAGCGCCGCCCGCGTATGGTCCAACTCTGTGCGAAGGGTTGCGACTTCGGCTATGAAATCGTTGCCAACGCCCTCCATTCCTGACATCGCTTCTGAAAACAGAAAACAAGGGGGACTGAAAAAAGCACGGAACATGTTTTACGTACCCAAAATCGGTGTTTATCGCTCGTCGCCCCCCGCGGTTTTTTAAGACTGTTTTTTAGCGGTCGAAAAACTTCGCATGCAAACGAGCTTTGATTACCAAGTGTGAGAATCGATAGGATCGAGTCCAGAAAATGAGAAATGTATTGAATGACCCAACTGGGTACAACACGAGGCTATATATAGTCTCGACACTAGGCCAGTAACCCAGGTGTTACGCGAATGGTCGCGAAGCATCCCGAACAGAACCTTCCCAAATTCGGTAGAAGGCAATTCGGTGGCAACCGAAAGGCTTGGAATCTGGAACACGCAACCTGGTTCGGTGCTATAATTATATATAGAAAAAAAAAAAGAGGAAAGCACCTAACCTAGGAAACCAAACATAAGCATGCATGATTATATAAATCTAAGCTAGAAATAGCATAATGAAGTGTGAAAGATAGAACGAGGAATGATTGCATTGAGCAGCAGGAGGAGTACAAGTAGGAAACCTTAAAGTGTTGTACCCCATATGAACTACCCCACTACAGCCTACACAGACTAGAGCATATAAGTTTGACACACCCCCATAGGCAAAGTGGGGGAGAACAAGAGGTCACAAGACCAGTCAAGAGAAGCAAAGCAAGCTCAGGGTGGATCACGAAGTCACCACGCATTCTGAGCACAAGCAATTGGCCACAAGGTCAGTTCACATGCAGAGTTATATAAAGGCGAACAAACAATACAGTGATCACAACGTAGCAAGTGTAAGCATGCAGATATATATATAAAGATCACACTACAAGCAAAGTCAAGAAGTAAGCAAGTGAGGCCCAGTGGGCACAAGGCCTAGAACAGTACAAAAACGCTGATGATCACAAGGCTGAAGTGCCTTGGTGAAGACATCAGCAGTGTTTGCCTGAGTGGCCACGTAAGCAAGATGAAGCTGACCACGCTGCTGCAACTCTCGAGCAAGGAAGTAACGCAGAGCGATGTGCTTCGTTCTGTGCTCCAGTCTGTGCTCCTGACACAAGGCCATCATGGCCTTGTTGTCGACGAACAGCACTGGAGGAGAACGAGGCGGCTCTCCTAGGTCGGTCAGCAGGTAGGTGAGTTACCGTAACTCCTGTGCAGCCATGGCCCCTGCGTAGATTGTCAGTAGATCTGCACTGTGGATGCCCGATTGATCCTGGAGAGGGTTACAGGCGCGTTCGCCTGGGGGGTTATGGGCGCACTGACCCGCTACTGAAACAAGCCCTTTTATCCCAATGGTCTAGTGGTTGGGATTCTGACATGGTATCAGAGCGGTCTCGGGTTCGATTCCCGGTGTATGCACATGTAGGCCGTTGCCGCTGTGCTTAGTCCTGGGCCTCCCAGTGTGGGGGGGTGTCAGTAGATCTGCACTGTGGATGCCCGATTGATCCTGGAGAGGGTTACAGGCGCGTTCGCCTGGGGGGTTATGGGCGCACTGACCCGCTACTGAAACAAGCCCTTTTATCCCAATGGTCTAGTGGTTGGGATTCTGACATAGATCTCAGCCTCACAACTAGAGCTGAGAACAGAGGACGAGCGGGTAGACCGCCACGAAACTGAGCCGGAGCCAAGGCTGAAAATATAACTCTGTGACGACCGCTGCATAGCCAAGTCGTCAACCCAAGAAGTGTCTGCGTGTCCAGTGAGGACAACTGGACCCTGTCCTCCAAGCACGAGCCCCATGCTCGACGTACTGCACAAGTAGCGCAACACCCTCTTAGCGGCATCCATGTGCTCCTTCCGGTGTCTCCCAGGAGCAACATAGCATGCCAGGATGCTAAGAGGGTATGCCAGGTCAGGTCGAGTGCAGGTCATCAGGTACATGAGGCAGCCCACAAGCTCTGGATACGGGCCACTCGGCTCTACGGACTCATCCGAAGGCAGAGCTGAGAGCGAGTGGCGAGTAGGCAGAGGAGTGGGCTGTGGCGAGGAGTACGTGAAGCCGAAGCGGTGAAGGACCTGCTGCACCATGTGCGACTGAGTCAAAGTAATGGTGCGATGTGCTCTGTCCCGGGTGATCCACAAGCCAAGATAGCTGCGCAGCTCACCCAGATCTGTGCACGTCTGTCTCCTCTGCAGCTCCGACTTCACGTGGGCGAGTCCCTCAGTGTCAGAAGTAGCAAAGACCAAGTCGTCGACGTACACGAGGACGTAGAACGGCGGCAAAGAAGTGTCGGTGCGTAGAAACAGCGACGAGTCAGCAGTGGAAGAAGCTAAGCCAAGAGCCGCAATGGTCGTCCTCAGTGTGTCGTGCCACTCGCGGGGCGCCTGGCGGAGACTGTAGACTGGCCGCCGGAGGCTCCACTGGGTACCTGCAGGAAACGACCCAGTCAAGCCAGGTGGGCGGCGCAGCCAGATCTCCTCATGCAGGCTGCCATGTAGGAAAGCAGTGCTGAAGTCAAGAGAGTGCAGCTCGTAGTCACGCTGAGTGGCGACGTGCAGCAGAACCCGAAGAGTGGTCATCTTCGTGGTGGGGGAGAAGGTATGGAAGAAGTCAACTCCCTCTCGCTGACTGAAGCCTCGTGCAACGTAACGCGCCTTGAAGACAGGCGGAGAACCCGGCGGCCGCTTCACCATGAAAATCCACATGCCACTGACGATGTTTGCCCCAGGCGGGGGAACCTCGTCGACGTAGGTGCCTGTGGACTTCTAGGAAGCCATCTCTGCGTCCATGGCTGTCTGCCACTGAGAGGAGTAGGGACCCTCTATCGCCTTTGCGTAAGAACGCGGGGTCGGGATGTCTGGTGCATCCGGGTCTCCCTCAGGTGCAATCAGCATGGACAGAGATGAGGTACAGCAGCGGCAAAGCACTCAAACTCCTCATGCCTGTCCTCAAGAACGTCCGTGCCAAGAGCATACTCACCCTCAACGGACGGAGGACAGACAGACTCAGAATCAGCAACAAGACTAGCGGCGTAGTCTAGACGACAGGTGGCAGCAAAGTCAACAAGCTCAGCAACTAGGGCAGAAGCAGCAGTGGACTCAAACGACGGGTCAGTGACAACAGAGGCCAGGAGACGCACGACAGTAGGACTGGCAGCATGAAGAGAGTCAGGCGCCGGGTCCGGACCGTCAGCAAGAGAGGACGCAAGAGGAGACGGCAGAGGGACACGCAGCGGAGCAGTGGGTGCGTGCCTGGGATAGGAGGAGGGCGCGGTTGCGGGACACAACCAACAGTGCGAACAGCGCGAACGGGCGACGCACGACGAGACTCAGGCAACGCAGGACGAGACTCAGCCTCACGACGCTCCGGAAGACCTCTAGTCGGCCCTGAGTAAGGAGAAGGCTAGCTGGGATGCCCGAAGTGCACACACCGGGATTCGAACCCGAGACCTTTGCTCTGATACCATGTCAGAATCCCAACCACTAGACCATTGGGATAAAAGGGCTTGTTAAGTAGCGGGTCAGTACGCCCATAACCCCCCAGGCCAACGTGTCTGTAACCCTTCCCTAGGATCAATCGGGGATCACCAGTGGACCTCTGACAAGGTGTAGAGTAGCTTGTAAGTCGCATAACCTATACTTACATAGTCCGTCAGTACAATGTGCGCATTACGTATTTTCAATGTGACGACATTGTGTTTACTTAGTATTTTCGCCGAACAAATTTGGGATGTCGCTTCCAAATCATGGCTTCGCTCAGACTCGCCGCGTCTTACTCTTAGGTAAGCGTTACAATAACTACCAGTAGTACCACTTCAAAGCGTCAATCTGCGTCAGATTCGATGCTTTGCTGACTATGTCCTAGAACGCGTGCTATGTGCACTGGCACTACGCAATGTCCGAATTCTCTGATGATGACAAAACGCTTGCTGGGATGGTGTACAATCACTTTGATGGCATTTTCACTGCACAGTAACCTGATTGCCTGTGTTCCCATCGCATGTGCGTGCAGCGTTCTTCGCGGTGCTCGTGGCCGTTGCCTACGCAGACCACAATGACCACAATGATCACAGTCAACAAAAAAAAATAGGTAAGTGCTTCGCGCTTCCTCATTGCGCCCGTCGCTCTACCCTTTCCTTGACTCATTCTCTCATCTCCTCATCTTGTCACTCAGCATCATATCTTTTTCGAATCACTGCTCTCCAATCCTCAACTTACACTTCCTCTCACTCTCGTGACTCTGACAGACACCTTCACGGCGAAGCTGATTGGCGCCAACGAGGTTCCCAAGGGTAACCCGGTGCTGCCAGGAACGCCGTCAATGACAAAAGCGGCATGGGACAGATGAAGCTAGAATTCTACAAGTAAGCTCCTCATGCGTTACATCTGTCACAAAGTCGGCTGATGCGTACATTCCTCTTCCAAGTTCCTGTTTTTCCAATCCAGATATTTTGAGAACATGAAGCCTGTCCTTCTTTTCTGCGATCAGCTGATACTAAATTCCCCTTTCTTTTTGTTCCAACACCCTTGGTGGTGCCACGTGTGATCAGGAAGGACAACAAGCTCAAGTGGGTGAAGTTCGCAGTGATGGCGTCGAAGCTGGAGGGCGAGATGCCGCCCACCAAGACGCACATCCACGTGGGCGTCAAGGGGCAGAACCATCACGTGCTGCTCGACCTGCCGTGCAAGTACGAAAAGAAGAGCAACAATGACTGGTGCAGCGAGGGCATGATTGGGCAGGAGCAGAAACTCTCGGATTCACAGGTGTCAGATTTCATGAAGATCGCACATCAGCCGAGTGGGTTCTACGGGAATATCCACACCAAGAAGTACCCTGACGGCACCGTGCGCGGCCAGTTCTCTAGGAAGTAATACGGTAGATCCAGTCGAGCGCAATCCTAGAGAATTTTGGGTTAGAGCAGGAGAATAAAGAATGAGGAGGTACTTACACGTGAAATGAGCAGCGAAAAAAGATCATGTGGGGCACTAGTGAAGCAAGTCCTTGCTCCCTTAGGTAGTGTTCATGGTGGCCCTAGTGATTAGAATAAGCAGGCGATTGTGCATTGCTTTCTCTGTAAGACACTGCTATTCTAGTGTGTTTAGCAATGCTAATGGGAATTGGAATCCACTCTCTGCTCACTGTAACAAGATGGGTTCGCCATGCCAGCGTGCATGGGAACACCCGAACGGTTGGAACTCCCCTTGCCTTGATAGCTCCGAATATAGATAGGTGTTAACCCTGTTGCTCAAGAAATCTTCTCTTGCTACACTACTTCGACCTATACTTGAAATCTCTGAATTGAGGTGAGGTTGGGTAAAAAGCGTTTGAAAATCCAATTTCTTGACTTCAAAACTTTTTGCTGGACATTTCCGTCTTGGTCTTCCAACCTGAATTCATGGAACTTCTCGCTGCTTCTGTCAAACATCTACAATCTGATTTCTCAAATGGAAACTGATAAACAATTATATCCTTATGTGTTCTTGCTTTTGCTCTATTGATAATCAATAGAGCAATTACAAGCAACTCAACTATGTGTCTAATGTTAAAACTTAGTGAGAGAAGAGTCTCGATTAGGTCAAGGGAGGGGGTACAAGGAAAGTATCAAGTTGGTTTCTATACCCCCTAAAGATAGCCCATATGTAGCCTAGAGAAATGTAAACATAAACATATATTTTTTTACGCACCCCCATAGGCGAAATGGAAGATAGCCAGAGCAAGCTATGGTCACAAGACCAGTCAAGAGAAGCAAACATAGCAATGCTCAGAGTGGATCTCAAGATCACCACGCAGTCAGAGCACAAGCAATCAGCCAAAATGCCAGTTCACACGCATGGTTATATTAGGAAGGCAATACACTGATCACAACCTAGCAAGTGCAAACATGCAGGTATAAGTATATAAATAAGTGTACAACGAGTGCAAGACTGAAGGTAACCCTGTGATGACCGCTGAGTCGCTTGGTCGTCAGCCCAGAAAGTGTTTGAGTGACCTGTGAGTACAACTGAACCCCGTCCTCCAAGCACTAGCCCCATGCCCAATGTACTGCACAAATAACGCAGTACCCTCTTCGCAGCATCCCAGTGCACCTTTCGGTATCTACCGGGAGCCACGTAACGAGCCCGGAGGCTGAGAGGGTACGCGAGGTCAGGTTGTGTGCACGTCATCAGGTACATGAGGCAATCCACAAGCTCTGGATACGGACCACTCAGCTCTACGGACTCGTCCGAAGGTAGGGCTGAGAGCGAGTGGCCTGTAGGCAGAGGAGTGAGCTGTGGCGAGGAGAACTGGAAGCCGAAGCGCTGGAGGACCTGGTGCACCATGTGTGACTGCGTCAGGGTGATGGTGCGTCGTGCTCTGTCCAGAGTAATCTGCAAGCCAAGGTAGCTTTGCAGCTCACCCATGTCAGTGCAGGTGTGTCTCTCCTGCAACTCCGCCTTCACTAGGGCCGGTGCCTCAGTGTTAGCAGTAACAAAAACCAAGTCGTCGACGTACACGAGGATGTAGAACGGTGGCAGAGAGGGGTTGGTGCGCAGAAACAGCGACGGGTCAGCAGTTGAAGGAGCAAATCCAAGAGCCGCAAGTGTCATCCTCAGTGTGTCGTGCCATTTGCGAGGTGCTGACGGAGGCCATATACTGGTCATCGTAGCCTCCACTGGGTACCCTAAGGAAGCGACCCAGTGAAGCCAGGTGGACGGCGCAGCCAGATGGCCTCGTGAAGGCAGCCCTACAAGAAAGCTATCGAGAAGTCGAGGGAGTGCAGCTCGTAGTCACGCTAAGCTGCAACGTGTAGCAACACCCAAAGAGTGGTCATCTTCGGGGTGGGGGAGAAGGTCTGAAGGAAGTCGACCCCCTCACGCTGACTGAAGCCTCGAGCGACGTAACGTGCCTTGAAGGCAGGAGGAGAACCCGGCGGCCTCTTCACCCTGAAAATCCACATGCCACTGACGATGTTCGCCCCAGGTGGGGGAACCTCGTCGACGTAGGTGCCTGTGGACTTCCAGGAAGCCATCTCTGCGTCCATGGCTGTCTGCCACTGAGAGGAGTAGGGACCCTCAATCGCCTCTGCGTAAGTGCGCGGGATAGAAAGTCCGTGTCACCATGTTATCTAGCATAGCATCTCGACATCCCGCCTCGATGCTATGCTCTGGTGTCATATTCTTCTTGACAAGGATATGGGAGAACTCTCAAGGCTAGCAAGTGTTATTGTTCGTAGCTACCTAGGTGATGTCTCCCCTTTCCTTTCGGAAATTCCCATGCTCCGCATGGTGAATTCCGAACCTGTTACACTCACACAACACACTTCTTTGCTAAGGCATACCGTAATTCATTGCTGTGCCCCGCTTTGGTGCTGCAAAACCATGGTGGCAATGAGCTGTACATTGCATAATGCCTCAGCTAACACTGCTCATCAATAGCTCACAAAGTATTTCACTGCATTCAGCTGCCAATGAATAAAAGAATAAACATGAACGCTGGCATATAGACGGTCTGGTTTCGCACACTGCCGGATATTTGTATGCAAGCGGTGGCCTGGTTTCACTTGCCGTTGCTGCCTTAGAATCTCCCAAAGGTTGCTCCACTCTCGAACACAACCTCTTTCCACCACCAGAACTAAATCCGTCTTTTCGGCAGCATCGGATTTCATGAAGATCGCTCATCAGCCCAGTGGGTTCTACTGTAATATCCACACCAAGAAGTACCCTGATGGCACCGTGCGCGGTCAGTTCTCCAGAAAGTAACGGTTGAAGTTGATTCGAGTCCAACTGAATGTCGAGGCCAGAGGCCCAGAGCTGGAGGATAAAGAATGAGTTCAAGTGGTAGTGAATAAAGTTTCTGGTGGTCACTTAGGAAGGAAAGAGCATCCCTTGCTCCACTTGGCAGTGCTTCTGGTGACCCCAGTGATCAGAATAAGCAAGCCGTTAAGCATACGGTAGATTTCTTGGTTCTACACTGCTTAGGTTTGCAAGGCTTATGGAAACTGGGTTCCACATCCACTCTGTGCCCACATGCTCTCTTCACGGGGGCAGACAGTACCTTGCTCAAGCACCTTGGTAACTGCTGTGACTTTTGACACTGCTTCAGACACTGAATAAATGAATATGAGACTCTCAGGCAAACACATGGTATGACAATTTGGTTTCGCACACTTTCGGATACTAATTGATTGTGAGTTGTGGCCGTGCATCCTCCCCCTCTTCCTCCCGTGCATCCTTTCTTACCACCAGCACACCCCCCTTAGTGTTGTTCAGGATCCGTCACTTGGAGAGTTTACGACGAACTCATTTCTCAACTAAATGCAAATCCGCTCAGTAGGATTGTGCGCCTTAGGCTTAGCTACCATCTCCAAGTTGAATCAGTTGTTAAGATGGTCTATAGAGTGAGAACCAAGTAAAAACGTCCAGCAGCCGCATGACTAGAATGGTGGAGGAAGTACAAGCATTAGGGCATAGAATGTTGGAGTTGGGGACTCCAAGAGAACCATGAGAGGGAAGGGGTTCTCCAAGAGCTAGGGATAGATGGTAGGAACCTTCCTAGCAGCCAGGATGCAACCTTCATCATGAGGTCCTTGAGGTGTCACATGCAAAATCCAATCTAGTTGGATTTTGCCTAGGTGTTGCAACATTTGCAACCCATGCTAGAAACTTCTAGCCACCCCAATCCAAAAGTCAAAGTTGCCTTTCCTAACCATCCAACCAAAGATCCCCTTTATAGTCATGTCCAAGTAATCACCCAAATTAGATATAATCTTAAAAGGTAATAAGAAATCCAAGTCTTGGAAATCTTGTAACTTGGGCGATCTTGGTCGGAATAAGGCGATCTTGGTATCGTTGGAAAGCTCTGGATTTCTCCTGCATAATCAAGCATTTAAACTTGGAGAAAACACAGAGATGGTAAAATCCAACAGCCATGCACAATGAGAAATGCTCATGCAAACAATGCACGCATGAATAGCACGAGCACTCGGTAGGACGTTAGGATGACATGCACTCAGAATGACGTGCATCCAATAAACTCCCCCTCAGACTAACGGACTGCATGCACACACACTCACACAAATGTAAACTCTCATGCACATAATCACACATGCACTCATGACACTGCTGCCCACACTAATGCAATGCCATGCCACACATCTTAGCACAATTCCAATGTGCGACTCAGGAAGTCTCTTGGTGAGAAAATCTGCCGCCTGCTTGCTAGCCTTCACATGGTGAAGCTCAACAGCTCCCTCCTTCACCATCTGCCTCACCCAGTGCCACTTAATCTTCATGTGCTTGTTCAGCCCATTTAGGATAGGATTATTGGCCATGCCAATAGCAGCCTCGCTGTCGGAGAAAAGTGGTGTAGGTCACTGCTGTTCAGCTCCCATGTCCTCCAGCAGCTTCCTCAGGAGCACAATCTCCTTGATGGCATGGTACATCGCCATGTACTCTGCCTCTCCGGAAGACTGAGCAATCTCACTCTGCTTCTTGGACCTCCAGCTCACTGGTCCACCTCCGACCATGCACACAAAGCCGCCAACCGATGATTGATCCTCATCCTCTGAGGCCCATGTGGCATCGGTGAAGCACGACAGCTTCAGGGTTCCAGGCGTGACCCCATCTGCTCCAAACTGTTTCAGCTGGCCGCCAGCTGAAAACTGAACACCAGCAGATGCCGTTGATCCGAGGTACCGCACCAAGCGCTTTGCCACCTCCAACTGCTCCTCAGTGGGCCGCTGCACAACTCTAGCCAGCTGCCCCACTCCGAATGAAGCATCAGGTCGCGTATGCACAGCTGCATACATCACACTCCCAATGAGTGACTGGTACTCATTCTGCTGCTCATCCTCGAGTACATCATCCTCCTCAGCTGCCTTCTTCAGTTTGAA